ATATGAATTTTGTTGTCAAGTTATTTTTTATTATCAGGTAGATGTTTCCTCGCATTGAAAAAACTTATCAGCCTCAAGAGAAAAGCTACAGAACACTCTAATGAAATGAAGATATTGAAGGAAGGTCGGTGGTATATTCGTCTACATGTAACGATACAAATACCGTATTGCCCTTTTGTGCGGGGGAGGCCAGGTTTACTGGCAAATGTACCAAAGATAATCTAATAAAAGCACATGTCGTACATGTTATTTTTTTATGTCGATTAAAATGCATGATCTCGTAATGAACGCCATATATTCAATCTTTTTTTCAGATCCGTGGCGTGACATCAGCGGATTCATTCATTAAATGGTATCCAGGTTATCCATTCACAAGAAATAATTATAAAAAACGGACAAATGTTTATCAATCCGAATGATCTTCATCAAGGGATGCTGAATGTTCATACTGCCTGAGAGTATAATGGAGTTCTTTGTGAGATCCTGACATAAAGTCTTAATCGTTGCGTTTCCTCTCTCTCGAACCGTCATAAGTAAAATATAAATCATCGATTCTTAAATTAATTTGATGTCAAAAATTCACTTATAAGTTAATAAAAATACCGAAAATTCACGCCGCCCTATACCTATATAGCCATGAAAGATATGCGGTGTTGTTTCGTTCAGCTGGTCTAATTACTTTGATTTCCTAAAGTATTACTTTATGTGGAAATATACGGAGATTTGAATACTTCAACGTTGTTATACAAATTCCAAGATGAAAAATTCTTAACTTGAAATAAATTCAGCTTCTTTCTTTATGTTTCTTATGTCGTAGTTTTTTAGAATCTCCAGAAAATAACTTAAATTTGATTTTAAATTATTTTCTTGACACATTGTTCCCATTGTTTTATCAACTGAAACCTATAGGAGACTGTCCAACATGCAGTTCCGTCGTACAAACGCCGTATGGCAAATCAAAAGTGTCGGAACGTCGAAAAATTAGCAAAACCTACAAAAAGTTCCCTTTCAAGATAGATGTCAACAATTGTGCCCACTTACCCAAAATCCCATTTTTGTCAAAGCGTGGCAAACAAGCAGACTCAAAGATAGCTTGCAACCACAGCAATGAACCGAATGAATATAGAGCAGTGGTTCTCGAACGGTGGATTGAATCTATAGGAGAATTTGTCTAAGTACGAGAATTATGTATGATGAATAATCGCAATTACAAGTCGGTTCGCCAATTTAGTGGTTCCCAACCGCTTTTTCAAGCGACCCAAGGTAAAAAAATGATTTTCGCAACACAAGAATAAATTCGACTAAACGTTCTGTAGTGTTTTTATGGTCGCAAAATCAAGTACTAACTACAAAGAATCACTTTTACATAAAACATTACTTTCCCACTTCAAAAGAAATAAGCTGCGCTTGTTTGCCATTAACGAGTTTTAAGAATAGTGGCGTGTCTTCAAGCGGATTAGATACTGCCAAGGTTATACGATGTAGTACTTTCATTGTATACAATTATTATAAAGCAGCACTTCAATACTAAATATGAATAAACAATAAAATTTACCAAAAAGGAAAATCAATAACTGTTAGGTTTTTGTTGAAAGAACGCTCGACGCAAGAAGATTTTAAGGCGACCCAGTTTTCGTGCCACAACCTATAGGCTTGGAAACACTGCGCTAATCCATAGCTCGATGGTGTTAAAAATGTTGAGTTCTTTTCCGACTCAAATTCATTTTATCCTTGCTAATATATTAGTGTTAAGTCCGATAAGTTAATTCGATTGATACCAAAAAAAAAATCTATTTGGCAGAATTTTCTTGTCACGAAGGGTATCGCTGATTCATCATTTGATTGCCTCACAAACTTTACAGTTTTATACAGCTTGGGATTTCACTAGGATAAATTAGTGGTTAATAAATTAGTACATTTTGATCGCTGTGGTCAAAATAGTGCGACAAGGTAATAGGTATATTCATGAGATCAACCAATTTTCCAAGCAAAATTGCGACAACTGTCTCAAAATAAGTAGAGGAATATCCAACGATAAAAGACGAATAGAATTATTCTGGGACCAACGTCTTGAAATTGTCCCCGTTTTAGAATTTGTCAAGTCTCGCGCCCCACCTCAAAATAACTAGCTAACAATAACCTGCAAATAACAGGTAGTAAGGCGAATGTATTTTTATCATAAAAACACGTTGAAAAATACGTGTACATAATAAAGAAATGTCAACAATAAAAAAAAGTAAATATCGAAAGAAAGCGAGCAAGATCAAATGTAAAAAAATATTTTTATTTTCAATTAGCTTCACGTTTACACTAAATATTTTCTTTGCCCCCTTGCAAAACGCGCTCCATCGTTTGATAACCACTGGTATAGAAGATTTGAATAAATCAAATATATTATTTTATAAAATAAAAGCTGCGTTTCAGGCTGTGTCTTGTTGTAAAGATAACATTTAGCCGATTGCCCACGCCATGGGGACCAGTTGCACAGTGTCACAATAAGGAGAGGATTTAGCGCTTAGATCCGGGGCAATTTATTTTGCAAAGCGCCTCCTTGCGAAGGTATTTTTGTTGCCCAAACCGTCTAATAATTGAAAAGCTGTGTGAGTTTTTTTTTTATAAGGTTAAAATGGCGGTTTTGCAATCTTAGAGACAAATTATTTATTAAAACGCATTTCATTTTTAAATATTTTAAACGGAGAATGAAAAAAGAATTAAGCTGATACGAAATATAACTAATTTCAGTATGGAATATTGAATAATTTTAAAACGGTTAAATTAGTATTCAAAATGTGAAAAAATTTGACTTCACTTGAATGTTGGGGAGTTACCAAACTTTGAGGTCCGAAGCTTCAGCCTGATTTGCCCGACCCTGATGACATTACTAGTAAACATTTACTCCATAACGGGCTAAATTTTTGCAAGATTTTCTAGTGATCTCTTCATGAAAATGTTAATATCGCTTTGCATATCACAAATTTTGTGTTGAACCGGCAAGTTAGTTTTATAGTAGTGGAATTACATAAATGAATTGCGGGAAATTTTGGGTAAATTTACGAACGTTTTTAATTAACAATTTCACAGTCAATTTTTAGTAGCATATTTAACGTTTAAATATGAAACAGATTACGTTTATTCTTAAAGTACTGGTGAAATTAATTTACTTTCTGTCAATTTTTATTTGGAATTATAACGTTGCATGTAAAAATTAGTTTCGATTTCTCTAGAAATAGAAAATTGCAAATAACTAAAATTAATTCTGAATTGTCATTGTTTATTTCAATACAAAGGTCACGCGATGTCGGATTAAGTCAACAGCGCAGCGCATAAACAAGCTATCCTATCCCATTATAGTTTAGGTATAGTAGTATGAAGGCAACTGGTCGATAAAATAGTTTGTTTTGCTAGGAGTACCTGTTTACAAAGCTAGCAAGTAATTCAAGAGTAATTTATCACTATGGATATCGGTTAATTCATAACAGTTAGTTAACTATGAAATCAGCAGTTAGATAAGTTTAATGGTATATCTGAATTACTTTTGAAGTTAGACATACTCAGAAACTCGCCCCGGGCAGCAGAAAAGTTAAGCTTCTCATTCGTTTAATGTCAGTATTCTCAACAGACAAAATTGCCATATACACGAAACAAACTACCACATGGCGGTTTTCTTAGTGGAATTGCTTTCAATTTTTTCAAGTTTGGTATAAATGGGCATTTTTCGGCGCGTAGTACCCTCCCACCATATTTATTATACCCTCAGTATCTTTTATCACTTGCTTGGTTCGGCGGTTGAATTAATCAATAACAAATTCAGAAGAAGCATATAGCAGTCTAAAGGGCTTGTGGTTACTTTGGCGAGGTAGATAGATATAAGTCTTATTCTACACAGCACAGATGGTCGTGAAGCAAAGCTGGCAGAAAGGTATAGACTATACTAGATAGAATTTTGGTAACCCCTACCAGTTTAAAGTTGGGGCATAATTTTATTTCGATTTTCCTTATTTTAGTTCTATTACGAATTCTGAGACTGTCTGTGTTAGCCGAGTGAATACACCCTCTGCCCATAGGCATCCGTCCATTTACACAACGTGATATAAAGTAGGCGAATACAATTATTTAACTCCGTATTGGTACACATACTTTTGGAGAATTGCCAGAATTTTAGCTGCAAGTGTGATTAAAAAGATTTTTTTGTTGTGTTTGTGTTTTTGTGGTTGCCTCATAGAGTCGAATGGCCTTAATTGTGGTTGCCTCAGAGAGTCGAATGGCCTTGGCATGTTACTGTTGTGTTGGCGAATTGCCGCTATATGTTGATCAAGCGGACCTTGCGGACATTCTTGAGGGGCATTCGGATAGTGTAGCTGGTCGCGCTTGCATGTTTTTCTCTAGATATACTCTAATATACTTTTCAAGTAACTTGTATAATTTGCGAGCTTGCTTTATTTATGTATTATAAATAAACAGTACAGTTACCATGCATTTGCACATTGTCTATCGATCATAGCTAATAATGCAACATTTTAGCTATTTTATTTGAATCATTGTATAATCATTGTATAAAAATATATTATAGAATTCGATGTCCGGTGATCTCACTTCAACCTTGGAGTGTTATCCTGGCATGGAGCACTCGCTCGGTGAGCTAGTCCGCATTAGCGGTATCAAAAGCAAAATTTTATGTTTCTTTGATAACAAATAGCGAATTCATAAATTATGAAAGTTTTTATAAATATATTGAAATATTTACTGCTAATTTAAATTCACGATTGATTAGAACAATTAAAAAAAATACCCAAACATTAAATTAAAGAAATAAACAAACTAAAACCTAAACTTTTCTGCAGTCAGTTACTACTTTACAACCTAGAACCTCGAGATGAAAACCATTTTTATCTTTTTCTGCGTTATCGCTTCATCCTGGTGTCAAGATGAAACAGTGTTTCACTGCTCACCCAAGCGTGGTTGCCGAATTGCACAATGTGATCCGGTTGCTGTAAGTTGGGATAGACCAGGGTTTAACATTGATGAACATCTGCATAACAAAGAATTTCCGATTACATGCAAATCTAAAAATGCGGCGCAAACTCCTAATACTGCCATGTTACATTCTCTTGTTTCCGGGAATATCTTAGGCAAGCATATTTTTTTCATCTTTAGATTAGAATTATTGCCCTCTGTTTATACATGGCGTTCTAGAGTTTTCTTAATGAAACCAATGAGATATATTATAATATATTGTAATCATAAGAATTTGAATTTATAATTAAAAGTAAATTTTCTTTTATTTTGCAGAAAATCGTGAATCTCGCCAAAAAATTAAAGATCAATCTACTAAAATTACCTATCTATTGGGAAAAGCGACAGAACAGTCTGCTGAGATTAAAGAGCTGAGAAAAGGTTGGTGAATCCAATAAAGCGTCCCTTATTTTTACACCATCGGACATTTGCACCCCCCCCCCCCCAAAAAAAACAAAACAAAACAATTGCACCCACATACATATTGCAATTAGAAACATTTGCACCCATGAACTGTTGAACTCATGAATAAAATGATAACGTTTGCGTGTCTCGAATCAAATAATTAGATAGAGATCCAAATACTCAGACAGAGATTATTTTCATTTCAAAGTAATTAGAAAAGCAATTTATTTAAAAAAAAGGGACCAAACATATTCTGAATGCCGCAACAAACGTATATTACATTTTCTGTATTTCTAGATATGAATGAAGTACAAGAATTGAACAAAAATTTGAAAGAAAAAAACAAAGAGATGAAAAGGGGTGAGAGCAATCAAAAAGCGTTTACAAAAGTATATTTTGTTTAAATAATTTATTGGACGTTAGATGAGTGATCCAACAACATGAATATTTAATTGTGAGTGAAAAAAACGAGGAACAAGATTTTATCCTTCGCTTTGAATACTAAGCAATTTTTAAATGTTCTTGGCGTGTCTAGAGTTGCCATAAAGGGTTCTCATTTTTGTTAAGAAGTTTTATTGATCATGTTAAGCGCCGTTTATTATTAATATATTACAACAAAAACACTGGAAGAAATGCTAATAGTATGGTAACGGTTGGTAGTGTTATAAATTTATTAACATTTTAAGCGTCGAGTTGAATACATAAGACTAAATGCAACGTCAATTAGAGGTAACCTGATATTTCAGTTTACCGGTCTACATTTTTTTTTTCAAGTTTTTCTGTCGGTGATTTGAAATATATTTCTTTTTTTTCAGATTTGGTCAAAGTTCAGGGAATGAATGAAAAGTTGTTGAAAGAATTGAATGAACAAAAGAAAGCTAACGATAAGATGAAAGAAGGTGATAGCTAATGAGTAGTCTTCTACATCATTTAGTTTGATTTGGTTCATTTTTTATGAATGGGCATGAATATTCTGAAAGGTCAAATTAAACACTCGATTAGAATATTTTCTTGCATCGGTAATTGGTTTTAAATATTCACTAATTGACTGATACAATCATAGTATCGTATTGTACCTGATCCTTGCGTGGGCCTACTAATGTACCGTGATTGTAAATTGAGAGCAGATAAACAAAAACATTGTCTTGTTAGAGTGTTTGGCAAAGACGTGGGGAAATGAGCAGTGCAGGCGCTGCTGTTGCTGTTCGTCGTTGTCCAACGACAGAGAAAACCTTCTTTCCACAAACCAACAAACAACATGTCATTGTATACTTTCTTACTTCTGAAATCTAACATTCATAAAAATGTTGTTATATTAAGCAATATCCCGGATTGAACAAAAACTTGCTATAACAGAGAAGCCTCAGCAGCGTCAACCTAAATCTAGACAGATCACCCGCCCAACAATCAATACCCAAACAACATTGAAGCCAACAAGTTCTCAAGGTAAATTTTGATTTAAATATCATTCTATTTGTAGGTTAGGATATTTGACAAATAATTCGCAAAACAGTAACTATAGTTATTTCTGCATTCAATAGAGTTGAGTACACAGCTATCGCCATGGTTATTTATAATTTTGGCGCACGGAGTCGTTTTGGGCATACCAGGTTGACTTGACGTATTTATTGTTTTTTTCCAAACAACATATATATAGTTCTAATTTTTATTAATATTTACAGCTAAAGTCTTTTTTATGGGTGTCGCTGCTCTATAACCAATGTTGCTTCCCTCACTCTAGAATGCATTTTTAATAATTTTTTGTAATTTGAATATCTAGTGTTCTTTCAATATGATGAAAAAGATAAATTGCTGATTACTGTTAGTGAGCGTGAGATGTTTAAGGTTAACCTCCTGGATAATTGAAACCAGCAACAACATAAGCTTTAAATGCCAGGCTCTATTGCTTGTCCCAACTCGACATTTCAGTCAGATAATTTGATTTGAAAACATTGAAGTGTTGGTGCGTCTTACAAGAAACAAACTACTTAAATCAATTGATTCTTAAACATACAGATATTACCTTACAGAAAACTGCAAATTGAAGATTGGAAATGTTTGTTATTTTGTGATCCTTGATGAAGATCATCTCATCAATTACTACAAAGCAGTTGAGCACTGTAAGAAACGTAACGCAGATGTTGGTTTGATTCGAGATGAAGAATCTTACGATGCGATTATGAAGTTTTTGAAGAGAAATCTTCCAAAGAAAGAGTCATGGATTGATATATGGACGGGAAACCACTTTGATCCAATCGTTAGTATCTTATGGTTAGGCTATTTATACTCGTGTAGACAAATACAGTTTGTGTCAGTTTGGTAAACTCTAAAATGCGCAGGCAGTATCAAATAGTGGTATATAAGCCACCACAGACGCAAAATACCCTAAACTTGCAATTTTGGGTGGGATCAATCAAAAAGCTTTTTGTGCTGTCGTTTTAGTTCATCAATGGAATTAAATAGTCTTTTTTGCTCTTATTCGTTCACCGGAGTATTTACCAGGCATGAATCCTCAATAATATTTAGAATTATTAACGATGAATGAACGTATATTTTTTATATAGAATAACAAGCATGATCTCGTGATGAACGCCATATATTCAATCTTTTTTCAGACGCCTGACGTCACACCTGCGAATTCATTCTTTAAAGAAAATCTGTCTACGGGAATTGAATTTAAAGATTGGACAAATATTTATCTTAGTGTTCGAACCAACACGAATGATCGTTATGAAGGGTTGTGGAATACTAAACCTTCCTGGTTGTTTGATGGAGTTCTTTGTGAGATCCTGACCTAACGTCTGACTCGTTGCATATGGTCTCACTCAAACTGTCAATAGTAAAATATAAGTCATTGATTCCTGGCTGGAAATAAATAACACAGCATTATGTGGATAAATTAATTTGATGTCAAGGGCTTACTTAGAAACTAAATAAAAATCCTGAAAATCTTCACACCGTTCTATACCTACCGGGTTTTTAGAAAACAAAACCTAGTCTGAATTTTAAAAATGATTTTAAAATAAGCCCACCCCTTAAAATAGGATCTAGATCGGCGCATAGTACCTCACCAACATATTTTATATAAATTCAGTATCTTTTATCTTTTGAGGGGTTAGTCAGTTGACTTATTTAATAAAAAATTCAGAAGAAGCATGAGACATTCCATAACTCATTGTAGGCTAAAAAGCCTGGGGCTATTTCGGCGAACTAGATATAAGGCCTTTTCTACACGCCGCAGACGGTCGTGGAACAAAGCTGACAGAAATTCATAAACATTACCAGATAGAAAGGCATAAACTACAACAGATAGAAAGTCAAAATGTACACCAGATAGAAAGGCATAAACTACACCAGATAGAAAGGCATAAATCATACCAGATAGAATTTTTGTCTGCGGAGTGTGAATATAAGGTATCGTTTTTTTTGTGTGTTTTTATGATTTCATCAGACAATCTGCCAATGTGTATTACCATGCCTGTGAATGGCAACCTATATCAATCAGGGCTTATAATGCAGCATTTTAGCTTTTTTTTTCATCTGGATCTATTGTTAATGAAAATATATTATAAAATTCGATTCCGATGATCTCACTCCGATCTTGTGCTATCATGGTATAGAGAACTCGCTCGGTGAGTTAGTCCGCATTAGCGGTATCAGAAGCAAGGTTTTTTTTATGACAAATAGCGTAATCGTGCACTGTGAAAATTGTTGAAAATAAATTTAATTATTCATTTCCTTCTAAATAAAATTCAAGTTATTTTGAATAACTAGGCATTAAATTATCGAAATAAACAAAATAAAGCTATCTGCTTTCAGCTATTATTTTACAAGCTAGAATCTCAAGATGAAAATCATCTTTATCTTGTTCTACGCCATCACTTCAACCTGTTGTCAAGATGAAACAGTGTTCCACTGCTCTCCTAGACCTGGTTGTGAAATAGCAAGATGTGACCCGGTTGCTATAGGATGGGACAAACCAGGTCTCAACATTGATGAACATCTTCGTGACAAAGAATTTCCAATAACATGCAAATCTAAGAAACCGGCACAAACCCAGAATACTGTCAACCTGTTTCATTTGGTATCAAGGAATATTTTAGGTAAGTGACTGATATTTTCAATAATTCTGATCACCTAAAAACAAAATATACTGATCCCCCCTTCTTTATGCATAATCTTATTAATGCGAGTCGTATCGATATTGCGCTGTACACAATTCTTGTTCGTTCGGAATGAAAAGCAAAATAAGAACTAATAAACGACTAGTTTTGAATTTTTGTTTCTCGTTTAGATTCTTATCTTATTATCACTATTTTCCCCAGTAACTTGAATCCGCAAATACGTAGGTAAACACATAGGATCAATAAATATATTTTATCTTTGAATCAATCGCCTTCGAGAATTTTTTTTTTGCCAAATTTTTCCATAACGATTAGACATGACGTTATAATGAAACCAGTAACATCACTTGTAATTCATTGAATTAAGAATCAATCAATAAGTTGAATTCTCATTCAGATATCGAGAATGTTAAGTTAGATTTAAAAGAACTGGAAGAGGATCTCAATGATAAAATGAAAAACATTAACGGTTTTGGAAAGGAAATATCTGGTAAAAATATGAATTTTGTTGTCAAGGTATTTTTCATTATCAGGTTGATGTTTCCTCGCTAATATTCTATGCGTACATTTTGTTTAAAATGAAATGAAAAACATTGCCGGTTTTGGAAAGGAAATATCTGGTAAAAATATGAATTTAGTTGTCATGATACTTTTCATTATCCGGTAGAGGTTTCTTCGCAAATATTCTATGCGTACATTTTGTTTAGAATGTTTACGGAAGAAATTGAAATCATTCATATGATTTTGTGTTGTTCTAAAAAATGAAAACTAGAGTCCTTCAATTTTTAACCAGAAAGTCGCAAGTATCGGAACAAAATTGAAGAACAATCGGAAGAATTTAACAATCTCAAAAGAAAAGACACACAACAATCTGATGAAATGAAGAAATTGAAGGAAGGTTGGTGATATATTCGTCTACATATATCGATAACAGTGTAACAGCTGAACCCTTGAAACTAACTATGACGTAGAAAATAGGAAGTAGGATGATAACCACAAATATTACTACTAACTAAAGTTAAAACTTCTCACGAATTGTTGGAGGTTCGGAATATTTCTATATTAAAGCATTCTTGAGGTTTCCACCTTCAATTTTATTTTTTCGGTTGATTTTGCTGAATATTTTCATTGCAACATTGTTAATATATTAAAAGCCGTTTATTTTGAATATATTATGAAAAAACACTGAAAAAACGATTACCTGAATATGTTTTGTTTGGAGCTTTTCTTTCACTATTTTTAATGATGTTTCTTTCATTAGATTTGGTTGAACTACAAGAAATTAATAGCAAGTTGGTAAAAGAATTGAATGAACAAAAGAAAACTAACGATGAGATGAAAGAAGGTAAGGGCTGTTGGGTAGTATTCTACGTTATTTAATTTGATTTTGTGCAGTTTTATAAATTCGTATAAATATTCGGGAAGCCCTAATTATACAGTCGCAAACGAGAAACGACGTGAAAGCTATTTCATTGTTTGCAAAATAATTAAAAGTGAATGATGAATTAATGCAGCGCTCAATTCATTACTAAGTCGATTAATGCTTCTCTAATATTTGTGAATAACCTTTTCACTAATTTGAAGAAAGGTAATTATTTCAGAAAACTGATCGAAAAGACATTATCTTGCCCCAGAAAATTATAATTTCTTGTTCTACGTTTACATATTTATAGGTTTATTTACATAAATTGAATAGGCATAATATATTTTCAAAACCAAAAAGAAAGAGATTAACCGTCTTTGCAACCACTGAAATGCGTTTGCCAAAGCTTTCTTGTGTTGGTGATATCTGACGTTTTTGTTATATTAAAGCAATTTCTCGGATTGAACAAAAACTTGCTATAACAGAGGATCCTCAGCAACGTCAACCTAGATCTAGACAGATCACCCGCCCAACAATCAATACCCAAACAACATTGAAACCAACTCTTTCTCAAGGTGAAGATTTATTTAAATATCATCTTATTTGTAGGTTAGGATATTTGACGAGTAGTTCACAAGAGAGTGACTATAGTTATTTCTGTTAGAATTTTTTTATGGGATTTTTTTTCACCATTGTTGCTTCCCTCACCCTGAAATGCATGTTTTATAACTTTGTGTAATTTGTATATCTAGTGTGCTCTCAGAATGGTAGAAAAAATAAAATACTGAATAATTTTAGTGAGCGATAGACGTTTTAAGATTGAAGTATTGGTGCTTCTTGCAAGAAACGAACGACTTATATTGATTGATTCTTAAACATACAGATATTATCTTCCAGAAATCTGCAAATTGAAGATTGGAAATGTTTGTTATTTCGCTGTGATCTCTGGTAAAGATGGTGTCAATTACTACAAAGCCGTTGAGCTCTGCAAGGAACGTAACGCAGATGTTGGTTCGATCCGAGATGAAGAATCCTACAATGCGATTATGAAATTTTTGAAGAGTAACATTCCAATGGGACATTCATGGGTTTGGATATGGACAGGAATCCACTTTGATCCGATAGTTAGTATCTTATAGTTATGCTATTTATACTCGTGTAAACAAATATGAATGTGACAGTTTTGTTAAAACCAGAATACGCAGACTGTATCAGTATTCCTACGATTACATTGGAGATCGTTTTTAGTCGTTAGGGTCAAATTGAACAGTGTAATAGTTTTGGACAAATCGTCTCACCGCGTGAACTTGAAGTTTTATTTCTAACACATAAAATACTAAAAAAACTACCCTACAATTTACCAGACATCCTGTATAATATTTTGAATTGTGGACGATAAATATAGGGTTATTTTTGATATTGATTAGAATGCACGATCATATGATGAATGCCATATATTCAATATTTTTCAGACTAGTGACGTCACACCTGCGGATTCATTTATTAAATGGTATTCAGGTAATCCATCCACGGGAATTGATTATAAGGATCGTACAAATGTTTATCTTAGTGTTCAATCCAATCCGAATGATCTTTATCAAGGGATGTGGAATGTTCATCCTACCTGGGAGTATCATGGAGTTATTTGTGAGATCCTGATCTAACGTCTTACTCGTTGCATTTTCTCTCTCTTGAACCGTCATAAGTAAATAGTATTTAAATTTAAATAGCTACCACAGCAATTATTTGATAAATTGATTTGATGTTAAAAACTCATTATTTGCTTTATTGAATTTTTGAAATATACTCACGCCACGTAAACCAATGAATGATTCCCGAGTTTTGTTTTAAAAATTCCAACATTGCAAATTTTTTTTTTAGAATACAGATATATTTCACTAATTACCCATGATCCAGATTTCGGTGAAAGATAATGTTGCTCATCTAACTACTTTGAGTTCATAAAATATAAGTTTATGTGAAATTTGGAGATGTGAATGCTTAATTTACGTAATTGTGAAAATTCTAGGATAAAAACATTATAAGGTTGCTCCATTCATTTGAAATAAATTCAACTTCTGTGTGTTATGTTTCTTGTTTACTAAACTGATTAGAAACTCATGTTTAAAGTAAAGACTCTCAATTTCCCTCACATCGAATGATAAATAGAAAGATTGAAACATGTTCAGAGTACATCAGCGTTCATTTTAATATCAGAGCTAAATTATTCAGAACAATTTGAACTCTCCAATATGCTTAAGGCCAAGCTTGAATATTTCGTATTGATAGCAAACTGGTGGCTCAATTCGAATGACTTATGTACAAGAGGGAGAACAGTACATTTTGTTGAAGGTTACTTTGCACAATTTATCATCAACACACGAATTTTCAGCATGTTTGCTCGAGCAAACAGTACAGGAGTAGTCAATGGAAATAATTTTATTCTGATTTTTGAAACAATTTTATTACCATACTTTATTACTAAATTGATGTACCTTGTTGAAGATGTCAGATTAAAAGCCAATTGCCATCCCACAAGAGTGAAACCAATTGTGTGATATATTCATCCTTCGCGTTTATTTCTAATGGTGGAGGTTAAAGCCTTATTTCCGTGAATGGATGAAATGCACGAAAATTATAACAAATAATCTGGTTTCTTTATGCGAACAAAATATTTTGTTACACGAAACGTGGAATAGGCGAGGAATTGTCGCTTTCTACTTCTCGTACAATTTAATATTTGATTCTATCTTTCCCGAGTTCGAGCACCTACCGAAAAGCATTGACTTGCTGGATCATTAATGCGTGGTGCTTCAGATAAACTTTCCAGTTAAAACTCAATCTGCAAGACTTGAATCAATTGAATACAAATTGAAACTTTTCTTAATTTATGTCTATATACTTTACCGACGTACCGCAACCAAGTTTAAATTCGTTCAACTTTTCCAGTACACGATGAAGATGGAAGTGTTTATTGGGCGGCTAATTCTTATATTTATATACATACCACACTCAAAAATCGCTTGCCATGGCAAGGCTGATAGACACCCTGTATGTTTGAATCAAGAAGAGTTTAATTATGTTCAAGAGGTTTGCTTGACAACTGACCATTACTGGGTTATTCGCTAGCCCATGGCTGGTCTGTGGTTCATGTGTATCAAAATATTATCCCAGAGGAGGGCAAATAAATATACTTCCCGCGGGCTAGATCCAGCCCATCGAAGTATTTCATTCAGCCCACTTGTGTCTGCTCAAATCACGACTATAGTTCTTATGAATATAAATTTCAATTGAAACAACGTCATAATGACCCCAATTGTTACATTGTGCTTTCTAATATTATATAAACGTTTGCCTAGCTGTTGGATAAAATATTATAAATAAACTGTTTTTTACTAATTGTTTTCGTATCGAGTTCCAAGCCTCCGGCCCATTAACCAAGTCTATTATCTGCAGCTGGCCCACTCAGGAAAGTAAATGCCCACCCCTAGGATAGCAGCTATCCTAACAGAATATAAAGATTTATATTCTCAGATTCGGACTCATACAAAGCTAAAATCGGTCGTAAGACATTGAAGAGATCAACCAACACAAGCGTAAACGCGGAAACTGTCCCAATACAAGTGTAAAAATAGGCAACGTAAAAGACGAATCAATTTTTCTGTGATATATGAGGCTGGGAAATATATATGTGATTATCAAAACCATTTCAAAATGATTCACAGTGGCCGGCAACAGATGAATACCTCATATATATCAGTATAGGAGCTTGAAAAAAAAAATAGAATTTATTAATTCAATTATTATAAACTGGTTACAGGTTGTGCCTGGTTGTTTCATGAAGTTTTTCTATTCGGTAGCAAAGAATGGCTAAATTCAAACGTACGTCTATTAATCCCGTCAAAGGGACCAATTGGAGTGTATCACGATGAGATCCGGGACTATTCTATTGGTGGGGTCCCATCCCACTGTGGCGTACTCAGGAATACATATCATTTAATAATGATATCATATTTTGAACAACATAAAAATACATATTGTTGTCACAGAGGATTTCCACGAATTTCATTATTCTGTCATTCTACATAATTCTATATCTTGTAAAAAGTTTTTTTTTATGTCATAATAAAATTCTTGAAACTTTGGAACCAAGCAGAATACGTACAATAACTAACGCAGGTATATTGAATGATTTACCTAAAACCTAAAAAATTTTAAAAGTTGCAATACAACGTCATGACATTAGATAAAGTGACGTCCTAATACTAGTTTTTGGTCGCGAAGGAGGTTATCCCAGTCCGAATTCACTGATGAATAAAATTCTTTCCATTCCAAATCCTTTTTTTAAAATAAACAGGTGGAATATAAAATATATCCTTCAATAGTAAAAAATATCCCCTAATTTATAGATTAGTTGATTTCTTCATTGACATCATCTTATCGTTTTAAAAAAATATACAGGCATTATTTGATTTTATAATTTGTTTTTATCATAATTGTAGTTTTTTGAATTTCAAACAATTCAACCAAATTCAATTTTTGAACAGAAAATTTTTGGAACAAGAGTAATTGAGCCGATTGAAATAAGTTAAACTAGTTAAATTCTAGCCTTGAAAAGTCTTTACAAATTAAAAACGATTTTGAAAAATTGATTATTCAAAATTGAAGGTTGAGGCCACTATTGATTTTGAGGCTCTGGGCCTTAGCCTGTTATGAGTAAATTTAGCCTTGGTCACACAGATATTAAACAATTACTTTAAAACTGGGATAAAAATGAAGCAGTTGTGGACATAGAATTGATTGAGAACAACAGAATATGGAAACATCAAGTGGGCCGAGTTAAAATATACAATGGGACAGTAGTTTTTCAGTGTATAGATCAGAAGGCAGGGCCTAATTTTGCAGTCTTTGTCCAAATTCCTTTTTCGATAATATCTTGATTTTTGAGTTGTTACGTGACCTATTAATTGTCAAGTATTTTTTGATTTTGAAATTATTCCATTCATAGATTCAAAATGATGCCATAATATTTTTTTTATATCTAAGTTAAAATAGTTTATGATGTCAAGGAGAAATATTTGAAACAAGAGAGCTATGATCAAATATATGGACACTTAGAATAAAACGAAATGTATTATCATCACTTCACCGAAAACCATAGGGTACCCTAGGCCTTCGGTACGGTATCCTGCACAAATCTGAACAGCGAAACAGCTACATGGCTATGGTAACTGACTTACAAGTACTTGGGTACAAATAACGGTACAGGGACTGACATAGCTCTTCCATGTCCTGTGATAAAGTAAATGTTGTTTACATCAGAACTGTAACAAGAAGATGAGAGCGTAATTCACAGAGGTACCGTGCGGTACCTTACCAGTATCTGTTGCTGTACTGTAGGCCTGTTATTCGATCGTTGAACGGTTCTTCTCTGGCATATAAAAACTCAATTCAATTTGCTTTTATCAAATTTAACATATACGGTAAGCTAGATTTGCTAGAAAACCTACATTTGACATTACTGAAATAGTAAGATCGCGAAAGGAATAAGTCAATTTCACTGTGGTACGGTAACTGAGCAGTACGTATCTGCAGGCTCGATCACGCAACCGCTTGAAATAAGTTTAAAACAGTGTTCTGATGAGTAAAACAGCAAAATTTTGAACAAAATATCAGATCTCATAGGATTCATAAGAAATTCAGGATTAAATAAAAGTAATAGCCTTCTGAAAAAAAAAAAAATTAACCACTGAAATTTCGAAGCAATTGGTCCAGTATTCGAAGAGAAAAGCGATTTTATAATGATGATGATGTCGAAGAAAAATAACAACAACATAATATTGAAACGATCGTTATTTCCACTAAATTGTCCAATAAAACACAAAATTTTAATTACAAGGTAGCCACGTAATCCCATCACGCAAGAATAATGCGTAATAAAATGACAAGTTATACTAACTGTTTCGTTCATAAAATTGGAAATAAAATTGAAAAAGGAAAGTTCAAGATTGAATGTCAAGGCTGTATGGATTTTGAGGCTCTATAATTCAGCCTGCCTAGCTAAAAGATAATACCGGTCCTGGTGACAGTGCCAACAACATTTACTTTCGAACTGGGCTTCAAGTGTCTCTTCTATTACATTTGAAACTTATATATTCACTCCTATTGTTGAGCCTACATTACGCAAAACGGTGTGTAGTTTAAAAATGCAAATTTAAATTAATAAATAAGTTTGGTTACATTTACAAAAAAGTTCAAGTAGCATAGCAATTGTCACGTAGTATGAAACAGATCACGTTTATTTTTAAATCACTGATGAGTTCAAGTAGGTTGGCTGCTGATTTTAATGAAAGTTGTTACCTTGTATATAACAATTATTCGCGATTACTCTAGAAATAGAATTTTGCAAAAAAACTAAAATTAATTCTACGATGTCATTGTTTATCCGATAACAAACGTCACGCAATGTCCGATTATGCTAACACCGCATAAACAAGTTATATATATGTGTGTCTTTCCGAATGCGTGAAATTTGTTTGCATGAAGACGACGCGACAGAATTATTCTATCGCATTATAGTTTAATAATAATAATGGTAAGCAGAGAAATCTCTGATGTGATTGAAATTCAAATAAGATTGTAATTACCGATAATTAGACATTTCAGGATCTGGCAAAGTAACCAAAAAGTTCAATTTTTTCAAAATAAAAGCGTGTTTAGCATTGCTAAAATATGTCAGGAGGAAACTCTGAAGTAATTGAAATTCAAACAACATTGTAATTACCGACAATTAGACATTTCAGGATCTGACGAAGTAACCAAAAAGTTCCCTTGTCTCTGCTCACATCGGTTACTATTCACACTTTGATTACATGCCACGAGATGATTTCGGTTCAATCGAAATTTGTCCAGATTTAAATCTTCAACACCTAATTTGGTGCACGTGTGACGAAGTGATCTGCGCGGGCAATGCCCAACAGATTTCGAGTCTGCCGCCTTAACCACTCGGCCACGACAACGGTGACCTGAGACTAAATTCAAATCAGATTGTAATAATCAACAATTAGACATCTCAGGATCTGACGAAGTAACCAAAAAGTCCAAGAATTTGCATTGATAAAGTATAAGAAAATTTTCTTCGGGGTCAAAGGTCTTTCGAATATCATGCTTACAGGTACGGTACCAGTAGTTACCAGTAGGTACCAGTAGGTTACCGTACCGCATATTCCTTTCGGGGGATAGATTATAAAATATTTTGTTTCGCTCTATTTGTCCTGATCATATATTAAATGCATCAATCATTCTAACCAAGCTGAGTGACTTACGGGCCGCACAAACATTAAACTTTCATACCAAGGCGGGGGACCGCAAACTATTGTCCTACGGGCCGCAATTGTCCCGTGGGCCGCGAGTTTGACACCCCTGTTTTAACGAATACAAGTTTGGGATATTCATTGTATTGGTTTGAAGTAGGCTCAATTGGGGTCAATCCGTTCCAAGCCATCAATGTGCCTTCAAAAACAAAACGGTGAAATAATTCCAAAACCAGGCAGCTCCAATAAAAATATCTGATAATCGTTTGGGCAAGTTTCATCTAATCTTTGCTCGATGTTGTTAATCCTGCTAAATGAAATCTCAAATAACGTTGTCGGCAGGATTCGAACCTGCGCGGGCAACGCCCAACAGATTTCGAGTCTGTCGCCTTAACCACTCGGCCACGACAACGGTGACCGGAGACTGAATTCAAATCAAATTGAAATCACCAACAAATAGACATCTCAGGATCTGGCGAAGCAACAAAAAAGTTCAATTTTCTCTGCTCACGTCGGTTACTATTCAAACTTTGATTACATTCCACGAGATGATTTCGGTATAATCGAAATTAGGTCAAGTTTCAAATCATCAACACCCAATCTGGTGCACATGTGACGAGGTGGCCGAGTGAGTTAGGCGATGGACTGCTAATCCATTGTGCTCTGCACGCGTGGGTTCGAATCCCATCCTCTTCATCCTGTGGATGTGGATGTGGAGTTAGCTCAGTGGTAGAACGCACGCTTTGCATGTGTGAGGCCCCGGGTTCAATCCCCGGCATCTCCATTTGAGAATTGATAATTTTTTTCGAAATAAAATCGTGTTAGCATTGCTGAAATATGTAAATTCAAATCAGATTGTAATTACAAACAATTAGACATTTTAGGATCTGGCGAAGGAACCAAAAAGCTCACCAATCTGATAAGAGTTCTCTAATCCATTGTGCTCTGTACGCGTTGGTTCGAATTCCATCCTCGTCGTGGTGCTAGAATACCTATCCGAAAACTTATTCTCTTATCTTTGATTTGAAATCATTATAGCTCAGTAAAAACACAGTAATTGCTACTATCCGTACAGTGTATATGAAATTTTATTTTTTCGTTTAGCGAGGCTAAGTCATAAGGCTTTATCGATTGACGGCGTTTCAGTCATAAAGTGCCACTTACATTATAGACAAAGGTCGATATTCACCGTTATAGGCAAGACAATGATTCGAGATCTCAGCTATATAAAGCGTTCGCATGCTGCCACGTATTGTGAATGAGCGTTACAGCAGACCATTGATTGGGATGAGAAATGGATTATGTTTTTTGTAAACGACAAACAACAATTATCTAGCTAATCTCGTAATCGGTAACGAATACAAGATTGGGCTTTTTATTGTATTTGTTTGAGCTAGGCGCAATTGGTCTCAATCCGTTCCAAGCCATCAATGTGCCTCCAAAAACAAAACGGTATAATAATTCCAAAACCAGGCAGCTCCAATAAAAATATCTGATAATCGTTTGGGCAAGTTTTATCTAATCTTTGCTCGATGTTGTTAATCCTGCTAAATGAAATCTCAAATAACGTTGTCGGCAGGATTCGAACCTGCGCGGGCAACGCCCAACAGATTTCGAGTCTGTCGCCTTAACCACTCGGCCACGACAACGGTGACCGGAGACTGAATTCAAATCAAATTGAAATCACCAACAATTAGACATCTCAGGATCTGGCGAAGCAGCAAAAAGTTCAATTTTCTCTGCTCACGTCGGTTACTATTCAAACTTTGATTACATTCCACGAGATGATTTCGGTATAATCGAAATTAGGTCAAGATTCAAATCATCAACACCTAATTTGGTGCACATGTGACGAGTGGTTAAGGCGATGGACTGCTAATCCATTGTGCTCTGCACGCGTGGGTTCGAATCCCATCCTCGTCGTGGTGCTAGAATGCCTATTCGATAACTTATTCTCTTATCTTTGATTTGAAATCATTATAGCTCAGTAAAAACACAGTAATTGCTACTATCCGTATAGTGTATAAGAAATTTTATTCTTTTGTTTAGCGAGGCTAAGTCATAAGTATTTATCGATTGACTGCGTTTCAGTCATAAACTGCGACTTACATTATAGAAAAAGGTCGATATTCACCGTTATAGGCAAGACAATGATTCGAGATCTCAGCTGGGTGGGTTCGAATTCCATCCTCGTCGTCCTGGGGATGTAGCTCAGTGGTAGAGCGCACGCTTTGCATGTGTGAGGCCCCGGGTTCAATCCCCGGCATCTCCATTTGAGAGTTAATAATTTTTTCGAAATAAAATCGTGTTAGCATTGCTGAAATATGTCTAGAGAAAACTCTGAAGTAATTGAAATTCAAATCAGATTGTAATTACCAACAATTAGACATTTTAGGATCTGACGAAGGAACCAAAAAGTTCACTAATCAGATAAAAGTTTGTTAATTCATTGTGCTCTGCACACGTGAGTTCGAATCACATTCTCGTCGTGGTGCTAGAATGCCTATTCGATAACTTATTCTCTTATCTTTGATTTGAAATCATTATAGCTCAGTAAAAACACAGTAATTGCTACTATCCGTATAGTGTATAAGAAATTTTATTCTTTCGTTTAGCGAGGCTAAGTCATAAGGATTTATCGACTGACTACGTTTTAGTCATAAACTGCCACTTACATTATAGCCACAAATTTTATTCTTTCGTTTAGCGAGGCTAAGTCATAAGTATGTATCGATTGACTGCGTTTCAGTCATAAACTGCCACTTACATTATAGACAAAGGTCGATATTCACCGTTATAGGCAAGACAATGATTCGAGATCTCAGCTATATAAAGCGTTCGCATGCTGCCACGTATTGTGAATGAGCGTTACAGCAGGCCATTGATTGGGATGAGAAATGGATTATTGTTTTTGTAAACGACAAACAACAATTATCTAGCTAATCTCGTAATCGGTAACGAATACAAGATTGGGCTTTTTATTGTATTTGTTTGAGCTAGGCGCAATTGGTCTCAATCCGTTCCAAGCCATCAATGTGCCTCCAAAAACAAAACGGTATAATAATTCCAAAACCAGGCAGCTCCAATAAAAATATCTGATAATCGTTTGGGCAAGTTTCATCTAATCTTTGCTCGATGTTGTTAATCCTGCTAAATGAAATCTCAAATAACGTTGTCGGCAGGATTCGAACTTGCGCGGGCAACGCCCAACAGATTTCGAGTCTGTCGCCTTAACCACTCGGCCACGACAACGGGACGGACTGAATTCAAATCAAATTGAAATC